AGGCCAGTTCGGCCCCGACGCCAGACCACTCCGACCTCGACCCAGGCATCCTGAAGCTCATCAGCCGCACTCCACACTTCCAGTGCTGGCCAGTCTCTGGTACCCCCTTCGCTCAGGAAGGCACGGATGCGGCATCTTCAGTGAAGTGTGTCCTGGGAGAGGCACACGGGGTCGGGGGCTTCCCCCGCGGACCCGCAAGTTCTACGGCAATGGCTCCCCCATCCCCGATCCCTTCGCATGCCGCTCACGTTCTTCTGGCCTCCCAAGGTGGGGAATCTTGTCACGGTGGGCGTCGTCCTGGTGACCCCCAGTCACCTTGGGCGTCCATCCATGATGATGAAGACCTTCCTGGCCAGCGTGAGGGAGAGGTGCGTGAAGGCTCTCCACAGATGCAGACGCGGCATAATTTGGATATGTGCACGATGGGAGAAGTGTACGGAGTCGGGGGCTGGCCCCGTGGACTCACAACTACGACGGCTTCCTTGTCTACTTCGGCCCCATTGCTGCAGGACAGGGACGGCAACAACGGGAAGGAGTGTCGCACAAATTTGGATGATGAAGATGAGACGCCACAATTTCGCCTGGCCCCTCAAGGTAGGGAAGATTGTCATGGTGGGCGTCGTCCTGGCGAGCCTCAGGGAACACCTTGGGCGCCCATGCATGTTGATGATGACCTGCCTGGCCAGCGTGAGGGGGAGGTGCGTGAAGGCTCTCCACAGATGCATATGCGGCATATTATGGATACGTGCACGCCAGAAGACGTGTACGGAGTCGGGGGCTGCCCCCGCGGACTCACAAGAACGACGGCTTCCTTGTCTACTTCGGCCTCATTGCTGCAGGTCGACCCCCCTACAGAGCCCCTGGACCCACAATGCAGGCCCACCAACCCCGCAAGGGGCGGTAGTAAGGGAGCAGAGTGGGGACAGTCGGGAGGCCAGGCGAATGCCGTAGGGGGCGAGTCCGACCTGCGGCACAAGGATATCAACGGCAGCAGCGGGATGGTTCGGCGCACGAATATGGATGATGAAGATGACGTTTTCCCCCAAGCTGAACACGAGGAGGAGTATGCTCCACAGGATGTCGCGGAACCAGCAGATGTTCCACCTGAACCCTGCCCACCACTACGGGCGTTGGCAACCCTGTCCCTCGATTTTCTGGACAAGGTCAATGAACGCACGGAGTCCTTGGAGAGACGAGCTCAAGCACGGGCCTTCGCCAAGGGCCAACATAGTTTCATGAAGTGGATACGAGAAACGTGGTCTAAGAAGCCTGGGATCTTGCATCGTCATGTGAAGGACCCCCAGGCGGACACCACGGAAGTTGAAGGCATGGCTGACCCAGATCTCATCATGAAGACTCGCCACAAGTACTGGCAGAATGTTTGGACGGACAAAGTCGACACCATGGAAGACATCGTACATGAGATCGGTCAGACGCTCAAAATTGCGAAGCAGCAGGACATTGACCCAATCACACTAGAGGAGCTGGAGAATGCACTAGCTCGCATGTCGGCAAACAAAGCCAAAGGGGTTGATAACATCAGCGTGAATGACATTGCCAGGCTACCCGTGTCAGGCAAGCAGATGCTAGTGGATTTCTTCAATTTCGCGGAATATGTGGGCTCATGGCCCAGGCAGATCCACGCAACGATAGGAGCACTTGCGGCCAAGCCTAGAGGAGGAGACAGAGTATTGGGGCTCCTCCCCACCACGGAAAGCTTTGGAGTCAGACCCGAGTCGGACCAGCTGCAGAATGGTCCAAAGGGCTAAGTGACTTCTGGGACACGGCCCTGGCGGGGTCCTCGGCCCGGCGGGCCGCCATGCTAAGATCTCTTCTCGACGAAGTGGGGATGGTCAACAAGAAGCATTTCCTGACCCTCCTCCTAGATCTGGAGAAGTTCTACGACAGTGTATCGCTGTGCATCCTTATGCGCACAGCCATCAAAGTGGGGTATCCAGCCATTGTTGTACTTATGGAGGTGCAGATGTGCATCGCCCCAAGGATCCTCAAGCTCAAGCAGTGGGCGAGTGACCTCCTGATCGTCACCAGATCGTTGGCGGCAGGCAGCCCCAAAGGGGTCCAACTCGCCAAAGTTTTTCTCCACCCAATCCTTGAGAGGGTCCACAAGGTTGCCCCGCAGACGATGTTGGCCACCTACATAGATGACACCGTTGCACGTGAGGAGAATGACGATGAAGAAATTGTTATTGCTAATATGACGGAGGTTGCAGCTGAGTTCAGAGCGGCATTCCTAGAGCACAGGCTGATTGTTTCGGACAAAACAGATTTGATCGCGTCGTCCAAGTCCCTGGGCCTTCGCATGGCCAGGATTATGAGACGAATTGGCATCCCAGTATCCTACAAGCTGGCGGCCACGGACCTGGGCATCGACGTCAGTGCGGGGCGCAGGAGAACAAAGAAGAAGGCTAACCAACGTCTCGCAGCAGCTCGACGACGTCATGGTCGTGTCCTTCGCCTTCGCCGTCTCGGACCCAGAGTCCGAAGAGTCTGCAGCTCACTTTGGACCACGGGAGTTTTACCACAGGGTTGCTATGGCCATCAGGTTCTTGGCACGGCGCCCAGCACAATGTTGGAGGTCAGGCGCCAGGCAGCGTCGGCCATCGCAGGTACTAAGCGAGGCAGGTGTCTGACATCGGTGCTGGAAGCGACCCTTGCTCAGCGCGACCCAGGACTCGAACTACCTCGTCAATTATTGGAGGCATGGCTGCGTCTATGGTTTGACAATCCACAATATCACAATCCCATTCGGTGGGCATGGTTGCGAATACACAATGCGGTTGTGGTGGATGGCAGGGCCAGATGGCAGAGAGTCCGTGGCC